ACCAAAGACAATGACAACGACTCACTTAATGTCAAAAAACATAACAGACACACCATCTCCTGAAGTTTATCAGCATTCTTCTCCGGTCTCTCATGATCGCTACCCAGGGGGCAGCACTGCCAACTCGCTTGCACACAAAAAAATAATTTTCGTACCCACTCGCAGTGGGGCTGGGTGAAAAACAAGAACGTACGATCAGCATCACCAAAAATGTTGAGTAGCTGTCTGTATTTTTGCATATCTGCATACCTATTCAGACAACCAACAATTTTAAACGGTCCCTACATACGACTGGCTTACAAAATGCCTTACTTGTGAGGGGCCACGCCGTGCCAGCCCGTTTTAGTCGTGACAACTGGCTATTGCATGCGAAGCGTCTGTTTGCAATGCACAATTAACGTTTTGTTTTCACACAGAAGTGACGTCAGATTACATCGCAATATGCTTTGACGCGTCCTTAAGTAAGACGTCGAGTGCTACTACTCCAATATTGCTTTAGAAAACTCGAAAGATTATATAATACAAACTTAACCTAAAGGAAAGTAGCTGCCGAGCACTGATTAGCAGAAACACTAAGGACTGCCGATGGACTAAGTCCGAATACACTGCTTCCGTCAGCAAGCGCTAAAGATCCGGCATTAATTTATATTCGTGGTTTGCCTGAGCACAGCAATAACTAGACCGAATAAAATGAAGGACCAGAAACGCGCCGCCGTACAGATGGGTTTAATACGAATGCACCGACCACTGGTAAATATGTCGCTATACTCTTGTCAATTTATAATCTTTCCTTACACTATAATGTATCTGAGGAAGCACTTGTCCAGTCCGGTTGATATTTCTCTAGATTGCCTTCCTTCGCTTTCTGTGTCAGTAATCGATAGCGGCAGTAGGCGACGTGAAAGATATTTCAGGAAATAAAATCCGCTCGTTTGCATAACAATGGTGTACATCTTCGACCGACTATATCTTAGGCTCCGTGCGGTTAATCTGTTCGAATACTTCTAAGGGTTTTGATACCTCTCCCTCCGAGTGCTGACCAAGTTCGCATATAGCACGTGTGACTGCAGGGCTTAACTTAACGGTTAGTCATATATTGTTCATCTACATTACGCAGCAGAGCCAATCTTTATGTACTTTAAATAAAAGAACTGGTTAAGCCACAAGAATTATCCAAAATTTGTTCACTAATTTTCTTCCATCTCACCAACCATACCACCGAGTAGCAATCTATCAAACCACAATTGTCACAATGTGTAGGTTAGTGTCTTTGAATGGCCTTTAGGTAATTGTGAACACAAGGAGTAATAAGCCGCTGGTCGGCTACAATCTGATGTCGATATAATGAGCGTTAACCTCAAGGGTCCAAATTAAATAAATCTGCAGAGTTCTAAAGACTTTGTGGCAATTACGAATACGGTCGGCCCCTGAGGTCAAACGAACTTGTTGGAAGATCAACAACAGAAAAGCAATGGGATATTTCAATTTCCTTTAGTCACTTTATAAATTTACATCAGTGCTTCTTTGATTGCGTCGCTCGTTTCTTATCCGTCTAAAAAAGGATTTAAAGAAATGAAAAGAATACACGAAAACCTACCAAGCTGTTGATCATGGCAGCGGAAACTGGATCTGGCTCGTAGACCATGCTCTCGAGAACGGATACTTCGGGTTGGAAGTTGTCGCGACGTTCGCGTTCTTCTTCTTGGAGTTTGATGCTGATACCGCGGATAGGGCCCTGCTGAATCCGTTTCATTAGATGAGTGACGAATCCAGCAATGCGGTTTCGGAGCCGCTTGGACCCGATGATTGCGATGTCCTGTGTCACACGCTTATTGGTGTGGAAATCGCGGGTAAGCTTGCCATAGAAACGCTCAATAATCAAGCGAGAGGCCTTCTTTACCGTCTTTGTGCGTACGCGACCCTACAAAATTCAAGTTCCTGTGAATTTGAGGTACAATAAGTCTGCAGCTTCAGTTCCAATATATAAATAAGGACGCCAAAATATAAAAAATAAACTTGACGATTTCGCGGGAACACGGACCTCAGGCTTGATTACTTCTAGTTAAAGCAGGCTAGAAAC